GCCCCCCCCAGCCCCATAGCGGGACGCCGTGGGGGGATCAGAGAGGCAGCTGGTGCCCAGTGCTGGAGGCCGATGCACCGGGGAGGAGCGAGCCATGGGCGGCTGGGGACAGGGGGCAGGGGGAGAGGAGGACAGGAGGACGGGTCCCCGGGGAGCTGGACATGACCAAGCCTGCCCAGAGAGCGCAGGTTAACCCCGCTGTGCTGTCGCCCCCAGTGAAGAAACCGCTCCGTGCCCAGCAGGGTCATTTACAATATATACTGTATATTTTATTATAATTGAACCAGCTCACTGAATCTACAGCTGTACTCACAACCCAGAAAAAAAGAGAGAGCGCACACGCGAGAGGAAAATACTGAAGTATTTCTACAGAGTATTTGTTCCAGTTAGCTCCCTCCGCGGCAGGAGACAGAGACTGTAAAAGAGGAAGACTGGAAATTTTCCCTGATGTGCTGGCTTGTCCGCACCGGCGCTGCAGTCAGGTCTCGGGCTTTTGGGAGCCGCGGCCCCAGGGGGCTGCAGGGCTGGGGGCTGCGGCCTCTGGCAAAATAACTCCTGGCCGCTGGCTTGAATTCGGATGTTTTCAGGGGTCACACCCCCTCTCTCCCAGCAGGGTTTTGGGGCTCCTGTGGCCAGTCTGAGCTTTCCTGTGGGGTGATGGGGGGGATGGAGGCTGCAGCGTGCTGGTGGCTGCTGCAGCAGCAGCTGGAGAGGGGTGGGATGGTTTTCAGAGCATGTGGCTCAGGGGTTCATCGGGATTCTGGGAGCACTTGTGTCCTTCATCTCTCCAGGCTTTGGGGGAGCAGGACTCTTCATCTCCTCCTCCTGCTACGGTCACATCCAGAGCTGCTGCCCTGCCCAGGGACAAGCTGAGCCACAGGTGTGTCCCCTCCTCACCTGTTTATCCCATTTATAACCATTCCACTTGTCTGGGCATCGCAGAGGGCGATGGGCGGCTTTGCCAGGGGAGCAGGGGATGGGTGGGAAACCCAGGGGCTGGCACCCGGCACGGCCCAGCTCCCGGAGATGTTTCCCCAAGGGCTGGTGAATCCTCAGCCTGCAGCTGAGCCTGGCTCCTCGGCATGCCGGGTCTGGGAGACACCCTGGATTGCCCCAGCCAACGTGGCTGCCGGTTGCCGGCTGAGCTGGAGTCCAAAGGATCCCCCCCCTCCTGATCCCAGCTGGCTGGAAACCAGTGTCAAGCGGGACTGTCAAAGCCTGGCTTTTCATCCGGGGGCAGTGGGTTAATCCAGGCAGCTGCTCTCCCACCCAGGGAGGCTCATCCCCATCATCCTGCTCCAGCCGGCCGGAAAACCTGGGGCCCGCACGGATTAAACACCAGCAGCCCCAGGGGGCCAGGGCTGTCCTCGGTACCCGGGGGGATTTTTTTTTTTTTGGAAAATCAGCAAAGTCCTGCAAAAGTGGGGCTGCCGGCAAAGCCCAGGACCCTCCTGCCTCTCTCTTTCTGTAATTAAGTTTAAAAAGCCGCCGCTCGGCCCCAGAGCGGGAGGTGGCTGCGGGCTGTGAGCCCAAAGATGGGGTACGACAGGCGGAGGCATGGCTGGATGCAGCCCTGGGGGTGGAAAATCCCCAGCTCAGCCCTCATCCCCGTAGCTCCCTCCTCCTGGGGGTGATAGCTCGGTGCCCCCCAAAATTGGGTGAGATGGATGGGTGCCAGGACCAGCTCCTGAGCTAGGGCAAGCAGCATTAACACACAGGGGTGGCCCCCCTGGACCTCCCCACTCAGGAAGAGACTTGTGGGGTCCTGCTGGGTGCTGGATTTTGTTCATCCATCGCTCTGCGTGTGCTTGGGCTGGGGGGGGGCCCAAAATGGTTCGCAGTGCCCCTGTCCCCTGGGACACCATTGGAGACACGGTGACTCCTCTGCCAGGGGAAATTGGGGGCTCGCCTCTGGCTTACATTGCGGCTCCCAGCTGAGCCTGGGCTGGAGAAGCCCCCTCCTACCCCCTCCCCAAGGATACACTTGTGCTAAAAAAAACAAACCAACCCCCAAAAGCACAGGGGCTGCTCCTGGGGGGTCCCCAGCCACCCCTGCCTGCTCACCCCAAGGCTGTGCTGAGCAATTTGTTCTCTCGCTCTGTGCTCACCCACCCCATCCCGCCCCACCCTGGAGCTCGCAGAAATAAAAAGATATCCCCCCACCCCGATCCCGACCCCCAAAGCACCCCAAGGAGGGGGAGGATCACCCCCTCCCAGTGTGATGCAAGGACCCATTTGAGTTTTCGGCCCCCAATTTCCCCCGCCGACAGGTCCATCCTTAGCAGCCCCCGGCTCTTTTCCACCTCCCCAGTGGTCCCTGCCCCCCCTGGGGGTCCAGGTGGCATCGGGGGGGGCATGGCCGGGATGGCGGGGGGCTGCGGCCCGGGGCCGGGGGGGGTC